TGAGCAAGACCTTGGTGACGGGGGCAAGGAAAAACTGCCTTTTAACAGGCAGAAACCTCGGGCAGGATAGTTACTGTTGACAGGCTACAATGCTAACTGTCTTCTGTAGTGGAGCAGATAGGATTATATATTATATTAAGTTATGTGCATTTTATGTCTAACGCTTAAAACTTTCTTCAGTGTTTCTATAAACCATGACGTTGATTTTCAGACGTGGAAGCATTTCAGGCTGTCAGCAGGGTTCCCACACATGCTGGAAAACCTGGAAACTCAGATCATTTTCCAGTCATGAAAACAATTTGATTAATGACCAAAAAGCCTGGAAATAATTTATGTTTTCCTGGAAAACTTTAATTGTATTTTAGCTCCTCACTCACATCACTGAATCTTCGGTAAAACAAGATAGTCTATAGCTACTTGATTTGAACTGTTCCTTCTGGCCTGAGGAAAACTGTAGTAAGCTGTAGTCAATTCACCGGAGACTGCAGCGGAAAAATGGTGAGATGGCTGTGGTGAGAATAGCCGGGCGTTCTACAAAAGTGAGCTAACATGGAGTAAAACATAAAACACTGCATCATGAACTCTGCATTGTTTAAAAGAAGTCAATACTAGGCCTACTGGTTAACTATATGACTGTTTGGGAGCAAATACTGTCCTGTATTTAAAGACAGCTGGAAAATGTCAAATTTCACATTTTTTCCCCTTTTTCACAGGCATAAAGAGGCGGTATTCATCAACTATGATTCATATGTTTAGAGTTTTTAGTAATTGATTTCAACAACAGACAGGAACAAACAAAAGACAATTATAACTGCATATACAGGTGTAGCCATATAAAACAGTACATGGATAAATAAAATATATAGCTGTTTAAGACAAGAAGGGGCAAATGCATGCAAAATAATCTAAATAACACTGAATATAACATGAACTACAGAGAAATATATATAAATAAAGATATAATGACAGAAAAAATCAAATGAAAACTAAAAGAAGGTCCAACATATAATATATAGTAATCCACAAGTCAAAGTCAGTTCTGTACTGTAAGTGTATGGCCTTAATACGATCCAACCCCATTAACCCCTATCTATATAAGCATAACCACCGGAGATAAAGTTCCACCTCACTGAGTAACCTGAATGATCTAATGCAGCTAGCTCACCCCACTGGATGTACCACAGAGATGCTGCAGGCACCGAGGAGACTTTCCTATTCATAACAACCAGCTTCCGTCCCAGCATGAGGGCGGTTTGAACCCAATCTGCCCAAGGGTGAGTTAAATTATCTAACGGCTCTCCCAAAATGCACCAGGCTGGAGTGAAAGGGACATCTTTGCCAATAATTGTTTGAATGTAGTGATAGATGTTAAAACTCCTGTACCTTCGCGCAGCTCCACAGCCTGTGAACCAGAGTACCATCGTTTCCTTTGCACCTCCGGCACCCTGCATCATCACGCGGTCCAATAGACAATAGACTTTGATATTTTAGATATTTTAAATGGAATTAATCTTGTTTTCAATTCTCTGGACATTTTTTTTTTATTTGAAGAATTAAGATCACCCCTCTGTGAAACCAACACTGAGGTTGGTCCTATGTTGATCTGAGGGACGACATATCACCATCAAAAATAAGAAGCGGAATAGAATAATAGCAGCCTCGTGACCCAGATGTCCAGACTAGGGAGAGCCAAGTAGGCGAGCCAAAGGGCTGTATCAGCAGATGCCTCAGCTGAAGGTATCTCAAAAACTCAATCTGTGGAATATCAGATTGCTGTTTTAGATTTTCAATGTTGCCTTATCATTAAGGTCATCTATAGCCTTGATCCCTTTTTGATACCACTGCTTCCAAAAAAAGGATGCTTTGCCAATACAGAGCCTTGGATTTAACCAGATTCCCTCATGTGGGGATGGAAATAGAGGCTGACCTTGTAACTCGATGCTACTCTCCTCTGACCCACTGAATATTAGAGACAACTGGATGTGTATTGACATCTGAGGGTAATTTAGCTGTGATAAAGTGTGCCAGAGAGAGAGGGCAACACAGGGCACTTTTCAGAACAAACCAGGACGGGCTCTTCTATTACACATACATTGCACAGAGCTCACCTGGTCTAGCTGGTCCCCCATGTACCAAAACTCAGTCCTTTCTGCAGCAGCCATGGGTTCCAATCTGACCTGTGACCCTTTGCTGTGTGTCATTCCCTCTCTCTCTCCCCCCTCTGCTGTTTAATCTTGAATCTTGTTCTAGTAAATAAAATGAATACATACACACACATACATATACCGAAAGACGGATGTGGTAAGCGTGGTGTGTTGCTCAAGAGTCCTTCCGTCATGTTATAAAGCTAGAGACTCCTTTACTGGTGCCGTGGCTGAGGCAGCGGGCAGCAAATGAACACCTTTATTAGATTGGCAGGTTATAATGCAGAGTGATGAGGCACAAACTGGACAAATACAATGCTGAGGTCAGTGTCACGGATACAGATTGTCCCTATGTTTGAAATAAAGCCTTGGGGTATGTAGATTATATGCATACATGCTGTAGTCATAAAATGCACAGTTGGTTGCCTTTCTGCCCCAGCACTAGCCCAAAGCTGCCACTGACACTGCTGCTAGCTTGTGTGCTCTGTCACCCACTTACACAACTTCCTGTTGCTGTGTACAGCTGTAAACCCTCACATATCCTGTTTTTTTCATCCATCAAACCAAACACTGCTCAGTCGTTCCCAGGACTTCAGTCTCTCCTCCAAAGTCCTAATCAGAGCAATTGAATCTATCTAGGTTGAAAAAACCTGTGATTGACAGGTGAGTTTGCAGCTTCTCCCTGTTAAATCAGCAGAGCTAATCCCCTGAGTATGGGGGTTAAAAGCAAACCAGAGCGGTGCATATTGGCCCCTTTTTTAAAGGTCTTTTGGGATCCTTTGGGCTCTACAGACACCTCACCTCACCAGTATCACTTTCTGTCGCCACATTTCCTCTTGGATTTCAGAGAACTGTTCCAACCTGGGAGGAGGACACAACACTTCAACAATGAGGGGGGAACAATGTGCACATGTGATTATATTAGTGCTTATTGACACAACCATGCTGCCACTGAGTGCTGATCTGAAATCTGATGGTACACTCATTAACAAGAAGCTCCCAGCAGAGGGAAGTGTCCCCATGAAACCTTGGATCTGGTTGCACACGTTGTCCCCTTTGCTCTGCTATAACATTAGTCTATAAAACTGTGCTTCAGTGTTCACAGTGTTCAGCACTTCGGAATAAACACAGAATGTGGATTTAAAGGCTCAGTGCCCCCAAAAAACTCTGTTGCTACCCAGCGCCTGAATTGGACCAATAAAGATGCAGCTCAACCCTGTCCCTAAATGCAACATAACTCTAATTTCTTTGGGGGTTTAGCCATTTAAATAAGGACATTTGCTGGTTTAGGAGTACCTCACCAGCACTGCAGTATGCAGAGTTTTAGAAACACAGAGAGCCCAAGACTGAACTGGCTAGGAGGAGTTCTGGGTACGTATCAAGGACAAAAAAATGAGTATGAGTATTGGTCTATTTCAGGCCCAACAGGAGGAAAATTCTACAGTAATGATGGATGTCCAGTCAGTGCTGATGGTAAAGGAAGTCAGTAGAAGCAATAAATTCCTCAGGGGGTGCTATATTGAATGCAAAAGTTCTCCTGCAACTTTCCCCAATCATAGCAATCCCCCCCCCCCAAAAAAAATATT